TTTTATAGATAGTTGTCGCTCTGATTACTATTATATGCATACGCAGAATGTGCATTATTTCATCTTATTTCTTTTACTCTCTTTCTAGCATATCTTCTAGTCGAGCATATGGGGATTATGTCGAAGTTCTGTTGATAGTTGCGAGTGTGAATAGCATATATTTCTTATAGATATAGTTATCCATAGTTTTATAGATAGTTGTCGCTCTGATTACTATTATATGCATACGCAGAATGTGCATTATTTCATCTTATTTCTTTTACTCTCTTTCTAGCATATCTTCTAGTCGAGCATATGGGGATTATGTCGAAGTTCTGTTGATAGTTGCGAGTGTGAATAGCATATTCAAATTATGTACACACTTACCATGTTAATTAACTTGTTTGCAGTATGCGATGTTTTGGTTATTTGCTATTTGGCTACAAATTCAGCAAACAATAACAACAACAACAACGAGATACACACACACACACACACACACACACACACACATAAATATATCCACATTTCTCTGTGTATGTCATTGCAAATGTATAAATTTGGATATTTAATTGCGTTAATTATTTGATACTTAGATTTTGACGGAGCAATTACGAGCATTAATAAATAATTATTTGTTATTGGCCCATGAAGCGCTTTCAGACAAATTAGAAATGGTTTTTATTTAGTATGGCACAGACAAGTTGAAAGCAAATACTTTCAGAAATGATCAGCAATGGAATGGCAACATAATAGTATTAAATTTAATGGAAAATTATGTGTGGAACATTGTGGAATGAAACACATGTAGCACATGACTACAAAATCATAATCATATTGCATCTAACTTTTAAAATTGTACCTACCTCAGCCACAGAGAGAGGTTCATGTATTGCTTTGCAGCACAATGTGGAACATTGTGGAATGGAACGAATTTAGCATATTATTCTGTGTACCTAGTACATATGTCGTCTATATGTTTTATATGCAGATAAATAGTATTGCAAAAATAATGTGGAACATTGTGGAATGGAACACATATTATATACAGATTAGGTAGAAGTATTATATGTAAACGACTTGTATTGCAGAATGAAATAAATGAAAAGATATAATAGAAACAAAGTGGAATGGAACACGCAGCTAAGATAAAAGCAATACCCTAAATGCAAAATCATATAATCAGGTACACAAATTGCATGAAATATAATATGGAATATCGTGAATTGGAACACATATTTAGTCATATATTGAACTGAAAAAAATTATAGCAGAGCTCAAAACAAACTGGAATAGAACAACATGCAATGGCACGAAACGCGTCAAGCGTTGAGTGAGTGAGATATGATATAAAATGAAACAAAATCTAAAATCGGCAAATGAGGCAATGCAACAAAACGAAATGAAACGCTAAAATATCACAATACCAAGACAATGTAACTGTTAATGAGAGTTAACAAAATAATAGCCAGTTTTTCCTTATGAAAAAAAATATATATAGAGCTCGAAAGTGTAACAAATAATTAAATGAAAGAAATTATATTAAAAGCAACGATATGTCAATTAAAAACGAAATGAACAACAACAACAATGTACTTTGATTAATTCAGATAAATTATTTAAAGCACCGTTAGCGTTTCAGATCAAATATATATGTACCAGAATATTTAATAATTTTCAATCACCAACAAAAACACAAAAAAATAAAACAACATTTATACTTTTCAAATTGAAATTAATGACAATAATGATAGCGAATCGAATAATTTATTGCATTATAATTAATAAGCAAATGTTACGGTTAATTTCAGCATTAATCCAAAATGACGGATTTTATGCCAAGTTCAGAAAATGAAACAAAAAGAAAAAAGCAAAAACAACAAGACAAAAAACAACAGCAAGTTGTAGGTAAACAAATTATTTCAATTTACAGTTGACATCGCTTAATTAGTCAGGTAACAGGTACAGTGAGGCCTGCAGTAATTGAACAGCTGCCACAAGCCATCTTCGCCTCCTCTTTTCACACTCATTCACGCTAATGGATGGAGTATTTTGGTTTTTGTGCAATGTCCGTCCTCATGAAATTTGACACTTATACTAGGGTATAAGAACATAGATTCTCAAATTTATCCCAAACCATCCACTAAGGATGGAGAAAACCATTTTCCTTTATCCCAGAAAATATGCTAGAGAGTTGAGTTGCAATATCGACTCGGATTGACAGTCCAAAGTCAACAAAAAACGGCGTATATGTCTACGCCCATTGTAGGTGAGTATTCTGCAGTCGGTAATGCCCGTCTGCAACGTTTTTTAACTTGTTTTATTTTATCTCAGTTGATAGCAACAAAAAAGTTCTCACACATTGGCAACAACTTTTACAATTGATTTCGACATTTGTTTTCAAAAAATTTAAACGCATTAGCCAATGGCTGACAAAAAGCTCGCTGACATAAAGGAATTCAATTATCAATTCAACGGATTTACGTTCGATTGATTTAAATTTACAAAAAAGTATTTGAGATCGAATTATATAATTGAATTATTAATTCATTTATAATTCAAATATATTTTTCATTGTTCAGTCTATGCTTCAGTTATATGAAAAGTCAGTTTCTC